CAATGGAGCCTGCGTGAGCCAGACTTGTTCTCCCTTCCCCCCTCCCCCTGACAATATCTTAGAATGTACTTAATAAAAAAAAAAAGAGGGCCGGCCCATGACTCACGTGGGAGAACATGGTGCTGACAACACCAAGTCAAGGGTTAAGATCCCCTTACCAGTCATCTTTTGAAAAAAAAAAGAAAAGAAACACATTAAAAAAAAAAAAGAAAGAAAGAAAAGAAAATTGGGGCTAGCTGGTTAGCTCAGTCAGTTACAGTGTGGTGTTATAACACCAAGGTCAAGAGTGCGGATCTCTATACTGGCCAAATGCAAAATAAAGGGGGAGGGCTGGTATCTGGCGCTAGCTGGTCCCTATAGATGGGCATGTACATTCTCGATGGCCATAGTTCCCGTTCTCTGCTGTCTCCCTGACATTGCAGCTGAATGTCAGTTGCTATTTACTGTGTTGTGTTGGATTTAGAGTAGAGAAATATTTCTAAGTTCTCTCAAAAGTGGGAAAACAAGATGGCCAGAAAGGGCCACATGATTTTTTATGTTCCTCGCTCACTTTATTCATCCTTTTTTTTTTAAGATTGACAGCAGTTTATCAGTTACATGTGGTCACAGTCAAGAGGAGGTGAGTACTGTAAACTGTGCAGGCCCACACAGGGATTGCACTTGGGAGCAGAGAACAAACAGGTATGGAGGGAAGGCTTTCCAGTATCGAGGTTATCTAGTATCCATCTCACAGTGTGGACTCTGTGACTACATGACTTGAGAATTCTATAAATCCTTATTCCTTTCCTCTCTTCCCTTTCCAGTCCTCCCTCTTCCTCTAAACTAGCTGGCCTCAGTTTCTCTATCAGCAAATTTGGGGGTTGAGTCACGGTGAACTTTATTCAGTACCTTCTTATTGCCAAGTTCTGTGCTATGTGCTTTACTTACATGTCACTGAATCCTCAAGACACCCCTTGGAAGAAAGCTCTCTTATCATGCCCATTTTACAGATGGGGAAACCAAGGCTGAGAGAGGTGTAGCAACCTGCCCAAGATTTCAAGTTTCTACATGATGTGGCCCCTACCTAACTTCAACCTTGTCTCCCACCACTATTTTCTTCTCTCCCTCTACTCTAGACTCATCTGCCTTC